GTCCGCCGACCCCAGAGGCGGAGAAGGGACGGACTCGGCGTATCAAAGCGACGACGCAAACAGACCACGCCACACGGCAAGTGGATCGTCGCAACGTGGCATGAGTGGTTATGACAGGACGCCGAACCGCTCAGACGTCAGTGTTTCGCCCACGCGCGCGCGCGAACGCATGCGCGCGGCATGCGCGTGTATTGGGTGTGGCCGGACGCACAGGCGCAAAACGGGTTCCCGCCCCGGCACGCGCGTGCTCGAAGAGCTCGCAGGAGACGCAGAGAGTAAAACGACCAGAACATACGGAGCCGCACAAACGGCTGGTTCGGAGGCGCGTGCGTGCAAGCGACAATCTGCGTGGAGGGTCGCAGGCACCGCAAATGGCGGCTGACGTACACGCGCGCGCATTGCGAATTCGTGAGGAAAGCCCGGGCTTCTTTCACCCTGCGTTTGGCCACCAGAACCCGGGATGAAGGAAGGCCGGGCTTCTTTCACCTCGCACTTGCTTCACCCCCACCCCAAAGGTCTGCGGCCCGGGTTTGCAGGGTCTGGGGCCTGGCCAGAGGCGGGCCTCGCACCCCCAAACACAACCAAAATTATTCCGTTTCTCCAAAATGTCGTGGTAGGAGCCTGGCGAAGGGGTGGGAGTCGGCTGAAACCGCTGCTGTGGAAGGTGGGGGCCTGGAGGGAAACGGAGACGGGATACCCCCCCTACCCCCCCTACCCCCCAAAACATTTTTCACCCTCTCCAACACCCCCAAGGTCGGCGGATACATATCTACACATCATATGCATCTCTGGCGTCCTACTGGGAACCCCTGTTTCGAAAAACCTTGAAACCGATACAAAGATGACCGCCCAGGCTTGCCACGCTGATTGAGCTGCTGTCAGACTTCATTGGAATACACTCCAAAGCTTTGTCTGGCTCGCAGCTGCCGAGCTGAGTGTAATTGGTCTAGGGGTTTGTTTCTGAGGTAAGGGGTTAGCGGTTTAGGGTAAATTTAGGGATTTCCGTGCAAAGTCGAAGGAGGGGACCGTGACATCCTCTTCTACAGGAAGATTATGTTACCATTGATCTAAATAAAGAACTGAGCCAAAAGAGGCTTCTTCACATTTGCTGACTTCACCCTTTCAGGCTAGAAACTTTCTGTGAATCTGCAAGCATGGTGCAGCCCCACTCGATCTGAGATTTGCAAGCAATTGCTTCATGTACGCCTGGAACGACTTCCTGTCACTGGCATTGGCCTCGACATAATGTAATGGTTCGTCGCTGTGGAACATCTTGTGCAAGCGCTGCTGTTTGAATCTGAGCAAGGCGATCTCTGCAGACTTTGCATACTGGTATGCCTCTCGTCTTGTTGAATGCGAAAGTCCCGGCTAAAATCTCAGGATTTCCACAAGCCTCCACAAGCCTCATGCAAGTGTTTTTTTGGCCGCCAAGTAAGTACAGAACCATGGCAGCACCAGAGCACAGCTCCAAGGTCTACTCCCTTTGTCATCGAAGTTGTGGAGTCACGTCTCTGAAGCTTCCGGTGTAATGCCACAACGGGACACATGAACCTGAGCTTTCTGGCACGGCACAGAATTGCTTCCCGGAAGACTGCTTATCCTCGCTTGAACTGAATGCTCTTGGAGGGAGTCGGGCGAGTCAGGCGAGTCAGGCGAGCTGTAGGATGGACTCGGCCTAGCGCCTAGGAGCCCAGGTGTGGTCGGTGTGGTCATTGGACAGTGAGGAGGTGTTGGTGAAGTGCTGCCAGCCCATGCTCGGAAGAACGTGGTCGCGGCGAAATGCTTGACGTCAACTCGGTGCCAGATGGAACTAAGTGCCCAGAAAAGACCTTCTCTTAGGACAGTGTCATGCTTGTTTGTTGTGCTTGGGGAGCCTGACGCTGCCGCCTGCTGAGATAGCTCCACGTACAACGACCTGCGAGACGATCAGGCCCCGTATGGTCTTGCGCAGAACTAGCGTCATGGGTAGAAACAAACCATACCCTACGCGTTGATGTAAGCAGAAACTGAGAGTACGCTGATATGGAGGCACAGGGGTTTGCCCCCTAGCACGGTTTGCCGCCTTGAAAGTTCGGTCCTGACATGTTCAGACGGACATATGCATGAGTCTGCGCGACGATCTGTTTTGACAGGGCGTAACGAAGCAGCGCATGGTACTTGCCTCAGATGCCTTACATGCCTCTAGACTGTGATATCTGGCTGCTAGCCAGCTAGCCGCTGCTAACCTCAATTAGAACCAGGAAGTGATGTCAAACGAACTTGTCTGAACAGCTATCATTCTAAGCTGCGCCGCTTCAACTACATCCTGGCGCATGAAGAAGACCTGGACGCCAATGAGCGCGAGAAGTCTGGCCCTCAGCAAGCTGGGCTGAGATGGGGTTGCTTCGAACCATGGATCCCTCGTTTTCATCCTTATGCAGAAGCACCTGATAACTTGGGAAAATGCGTAGATCAACCGGTATATTATATCAGTTATATGCAGCAAGATATACAGTTTGATAGAGAGTCATGTAACCCTACGCGCTGAACCGTAAACCCTAAGTCCAGATGAACCCTTTGCACTGCCGTGCAGACGTAAAAGAGTCTCAAGGGTTGGGAAAACAACTATGTTTGCTGCAGGTTCGTCGACTTTGTGTACCGCAGTGTTTTGGCGAGCGCGGCTCGGTGGCAGAGTGGAAATCTAACCAGCGACTTTAAGCTCAGAGAGCCTGCCAGAACCAGGATTTAGTATACCATGATATACTGTAATATTAATAGACTATGAAATATACTGTAATTACTATAGTATGGCAGACTATAATATAATTAACTATACTATATGTACTATGAGCCGTGTTTTCACAGTCCAGAAGAAGTCCCTTCGCAGCTCAACAGGGTGGTCTGGATGCCAAGACGTCCCACTGTGACATGCTGTCTTTCTGCCAGGGACCCAGTGGGTGGGCTGGTTTGCCCAGCATGTCCGGCAGCTGTCTACCCAAGCACTGCAAATGCAATCCTTCTCAAGAAGCACGTTGCGGCTAACCAGAGCAGGCAAGCAATTATTCGCAGATTACTGCTATATGACCCCTATATTACCCCTGTATGACCCCTACATAACCCCTATATGACCCCTATCTAACCCCTTTATTGCTGTCCGCTGCACTAGTTGGTTGAGACTTGAGCCAGATCCTAGGCACAGCATGCGCCAGTGGTGAGCCTTTAAGCTTCGAGGCTCGTGTATCCGTGGTCAAAGCTTGGAAATTCTGAGGGTCCCTCTCATCCAGGTCCCAAATAGAGTCTGAATGTACTTAGGCCGCAAGGTAGCAACATAGCAGCTGATTCGGGCCTCAACTACATGCTGTATGTTGGTAGCTGGGCCCTTTGGGCTGCCCCTGACAGCCATGTTGACGTTTGCCCTGCAGATACTGCAAGCTTTCTTCAACCGCAAGAAGAGAGTCGGCCTGGCTTGGGGCTCGAAGGGCTTAACGGAGAATCAAATGGAAAATGAGCCGGAAACTGGGATTCCTGACAGAGGCTACAGGGATGTATAGGATTTAAGGTTTAGGGGACATATAAAAATCATAAGGCGAAAGAATCAACGATTACTTCACAACTGAGGTTATATGTGGATTATACAGGGTGTTAAGGAACTTATCTCAAGTTACCATTGCAAGGAATCCAGACTATTTCTCTATACATACAACTATTTTGGGAACTTCGTTTAAGTTCCCTAACAGCAACCCAGTACACTTGCTTTCACAGCATTCTGTCGCGCAGACACCATCCATTTCACACTGAAGTTGAGCAGAGGTCACAATCACATTTGTAGGAGGATTCATCAGAATACTGCTTCATTCCCAATTAAATCGAGCCTTGGTTTCCAAGCCTCTCATTCCAAGCTGTGTCTCAAATCTAAAGTTCTAGCCCATGCTGGACTTCAGTTGCGGCCGCATGCGTTTTTGGAACCAGGTATCCTGATGGCATTGCACTATTCTTACTAAGTGCTACTGCTTCTATGAAACAGAGACGCCGGCGAGAGTGACGACAGTGACGGCGGTCATACCATGGCCACTGAAACCACGGCGAGCACCACCACGAGCACCAATACAGCGAACAGGAATACAAACATGACCATTGCCATGGCAGGCAGCACTCCGGCGAGCACGACTGCCAATCTCAACGACCCACCACTACGACCACCACCACCACCACCACCACCACCACCACCACCACCACCACCACCACCACCACGCCGGGCGATTGATGTTTTAAAGGTCATCATCGGTGTTGCTTCAGCGGTATTTGGGGGAGATCCCCTTTCTGAGAAATACCTGGTCATTGCTTGCTGAGGTTGAGCGAATCTTCCAGGACAGTAGCATCTCTGTCTGGCGCTCAATTCGAGGTTCTAGTTTCAGCTTAGGATTCAGGGTTTAGGGTTTAGGACACCGTAACAATATAAAGCCCGAGGTTTTATGGAGACGAATCGTTTAGCCCGTGGCTTTTGCCATCCCGGTTCAGGGACATTCCCTTCTGTTTGGGTCAAGGGAATTGACTAGACGCAGCCCTGTCCAACTAGTGACAACAGCATTTGCCTAAACACTATTTTTTTTTTCGTAGTCATCTTTGAGCCACTATGCTTCATTGCACGCTGGGTGTCATGTTTTCTTGGCCAGGCCACCTGGGAGTCCAAAAGAAATGGCTCCATAGAATCCCCTATCGGGCGGAAAGCTTGAAGTTTGCTGCAGACAAGCGGTCTCAGTTCCTGCATTGAACGATGTAGTCATTTCCCTTTCATGCTCCATGTGATTCTCCATCATGTTCGCTTAGCCTACTCAAAGCCCTTGCCTTAAGGGTCCAAGTACCTAAATAGTAGATGACTTGGGCCCAAAGTACCTATATAGGAACCCATTCTGTCCCAAATTATCGATTATTTAAGTACTTGGACCCTTAGGGTTGTATCTATTTCAGCGCGTGTGGCTGTCTGAAGCATCTCCTTGCAAAGGAGATTTGTAGGACATAGTCTCGAGGTTGCGACATTGCTGTTACATGCGAGACTTACCAGGGATTGGTACTCACGCCATGATCAGTCTACACATGCGTCGTACCTACAGTGGAGAATGCTGTCGGCGTCCAGAGTTTGCAGCTGTGTAAAGCCACTTTGCACCCAAAGTGCCCCATTGTTCATCACATAGGCATATTTATTATTTCTCTAGGGTGCCCACGCGCATTCCTTCTGCCCAGCATCCATGAAGGTTCATGACACTTTTTGGCTTTCTCCGATTGCATGCCTCCTCAGATAGCCGGAAATTGCTCGTTATCCCACGCAGCCCCCAGAATTGCATCGAGAATTTGATAACATGTTCAGAGCCTTGTGCTACCACCGTGGTACAGCTTTTCGAATCCCAGTCTCCTTCGAACATGGGACGATCTATAGTTGCATAGTATAATTCTACAAACTGAATCAAAGTACACCTAAGGCCATCCAAAGCGTGACCGAGTCCCAGCTCAACATCCACGATGGAGGCACGTCCAAGAGGTCGGAGCGTATCCCAAATCTTTGACTGCTTCAGTCACCGGAGGTATTGTGCTTGCAAGCCCGCGCCTAATTATGGCCACCCCATGAAGTTCCAAATAGGTCCCCTTGCTTGCGCTTACCTCCAGACACAGGTGATGAGGAGCCCTTGAAGGACTGGCCAGGGAAGCCTGCAGATGTGGGTTCTAGGGTTCTGGGCTTCGGAGATTTGAGTTGGGTGCTTTTTTGTCCCAAAGGAAACAGCATTCGCGGTTGGGCTGTACAGAGTTACAAAAAGATACTGACAATTCTGATAACTGCTCATATGCAGAAGTTTTAAGCACTTTGTGCGTTCTTGGCGGGTATATGATCGTATTCACGTATACACTTGTCTATCTGCTGATGCAGTCATCGGTCTGCTTATTGCGTATGTACCCGCCGCGGACACACGTACACGTACACATGTTGTCCCTTTGTAATATATTCCCTTGTTCACTACTGATCCCCAGTATGTAAGGGTTCAAGTGCCCAAATATGCCCAAGTAATGTGCGTTTAGATCCCCCAAACACTACAATTCGAATGCTATTTGGTACCTCAAGCCCTACTGTTCTTAGTGTGGGTACTTGTACCCTTGTAGACCCTCTGGGTGAAGCAGCCAGGATGCTGCAGCACCGGTTGGACCTGCAGGCGGGCCCTCAAGCTTTAGATTTCAGCTCAGTATCAGTGACTAAACCGCCAGGTTCATGTCATGTTTACGCAGTGGCTTGTGGAGCATAAGTGCATTCTTGCATCTGCAAAGTATAACCTGTGCAGGTCAAAATGGCAATGGGTACCAAGCTCGGCGTTTCTGCGCTTTAGTGCTGAGGTCTTGAGAGCACATCATGATCATTTTTCTTGGTCAACTGACCGTGATGCATAAGACTTATACCATCTTAAGAGTTATCTTAGCAAGATCAGTATCAGAAAATCGTATGAAATTCAACGAAATACAAGTTCTTGTGCTGGTAAGGGGGAACAGGCTATGAAGGTTCCGAGCATAGTTTAGATGTCAACGTTAGGATTAAAAGACACCCCATCCTGATTTCTCAACAAGTTGGAGCCCTCCAGAGGCAATGCACTCCTCGTAGTAGGAGACAAAAAAAAAGCATCCTCAACAGAGTGGAGTTTATGACGCAGAAAGCCATCTGTTGATCTGGCATCGGGCCCGACGCCAGCAAAATGCTGTCGCTTGCCTTGTTGCGGTTCTGCTGTTCGTACCACCATTGTCTAAGGTTAGAAGTGTGGTTATGAGCCATATAGGCGGATTCTAGAGACCCGTAAGGGTATACATATAGAGACGGGGGACGTGCTCTGCAGTCTAAGATAAGCGCAGGCAGGTTTATCATAAACATTCATAAACCAAGGTACAGAAAGAGCCCCTCCCCAATTAGTTCCGTCTAGTCCCGACATGGGCCACTGTCCGTATTAGCGGTATTATCTAAAGTTACTTCGCTGTTTTATGTATTCCCTAATCAGGAGCCCATGTCCTTTAATTGTCCCGGTAATATTGACTTCAGCGCCCATGTGCGTCATGGACTGCAGCAAGAAGGTGTCATGATCCTGAGGTCCAGACTTGGCAACATCCACGAGGAAAACGCTCGAATGCAAGAGCGCCCAGCCCTGAGAGTGAACCGAACGGTAGTCGTGATGCAGTTCATCACAAGCTGAAAAGTATGTATTTCCCTGGGTATATGATGGTGCTGTATTGAAAATACGCTATCGGTTGTGAGAATGGGCTATGTGGTAAGATGACGATGGCAGGCAAAGCCCGGTAAGAACAGAAGCAGTACTTGTGAAATGAGCAGTTGTGACAAGCACTAAGCAGCTTGCGAGCGTGCGCCATTGGAGGCTGTGCTGAAGTGACCGAAAGCTTGAAAGAGACCTTGAAGGTTGCCTGAACCTGAGCATGCCATGTTTTACTGTATTCTATTATATTATTTGAATATTGTACTATATGATACTATATTATAGTATATTACAGTATATTATGGTATATTATAGTATGAAGCTGCACGATCCAACATGCAGTCGTGAAAGACTCAACGAGACATGGATGAGTCTCCTTGCAATCGCAGCATTCTGTAGCCGTTTTGGCTTGGTAGCCACTTTTGCATTTTAGCGCTCGACCGAGCCTTCGGCTGCACACGGATGGTTCGTGATGCATGGATGAGATATATGTAAATATAATTGAAGGCCGTACCAGGAATGGAGGGAGCTTCAGCAATCACGAACCATCCCTGCTGTCCCGTTACCCATCCCGCGCTCATCTGGGAATGACTCTGCCAACGTTTGTTGGCTGGGTGAACCAAGTCAAGGCAGGGATTTGCAAAGCGGGGTTTGGCCAAAAGCAGTGGGGCCCGTTGAAGGTTCCAACTGCCGCAGATGCATGGCATTCAGAGGGTTTCGTTCCCATGAGAGCAAAGTGAGTATCTACAAAGGCGGCTCTATAAAAGCCTTGCCGCTAAGGGTGGCGACCTTCTCTCGGACAGTGTCCTTCGCGACGCCCACAACAAATCGTGGTTAAATACCCTCGGAGAACGTACGCTGACCCTGCTTGCTCAGCAGACAGGATGGATGGGAAGAGGCTTATGTGCAGAGGCTGAGAGAAGCTTTGATGAGGTGATGATTCAATGCAAACGACCCGGATGTGGCTTGCAAGGGAACGGAAGTACTTTGGAACTGACAAGTTGCAAGACGGCACAGCATGTCCTGAACAGCCAGGTTGAGATTGATGAGCCCAACAACGAGTTCAACCTGATGCGCAAGCTGGGAGTAGACTCAGAGACGGGTGACTTGCAATGGCACATTGCACTTTCTCGTCAAACGGGAGAGCAGCTTTTGGGCTACTTTCCGACCATATCCGAGACACCCGACTTGGGCAAAGAGAACAACCTGTCACCATGGATTTCAAACGTCAACATGCTACCTACCGAGACCGCGTTTAACGTGAAGCCGGGAGACCTAGCCTTTGACGTAGGCAGACAAGGCAAGCCCTGCATGCAAGCGTTTCCAGAGTTGGTGAAGCTTGGCGGCTGTTGTGCTTGAAGCTTTGTGCTTGGTGTAGCGGAACGTCTGTGACGCTGCACTTATAGCAATTTGTGCCCAGGAAGAAAGGCCCAGACGATGCAGGCAACCGCAGAGCCGCTTCGCGTATCCAGCCAACCCCGAGCCAGCGCATCTTCAATGCAGCGAGACGGGCTCGAACAGCAGCCTGGATGAGTAGATTCTTGTTGGTGCAACATGAGCCGTGCTGTAAGGACCCACCAAAAGTGACCAGGACCGTCCCAAAACACGACCCACGACCTGGAGAGACTTCTGTCTGGGTATAGACTATAGATGGCAAGTTAGTGTTTGCATTCTCCATCCCGGAAGTGTGAAATTCTTTCAGCATGCATCCCACCGGGGGTGATGAAGGATCATGAGTGTGTTGCACTCAGCTTGATTTGTATGAGCCTGTAGAGCCGAGACGCTCGCCAGCTACGCAAACCTTAATGGCCGCGTGGCAGCAGCTTCAGGGAATTTATTTGGTGCTGGTCTAGGCTGCACAATACCAAGGTATCTCTGAAGGAGACCTTCGCTGTCCTTTGCATTGAGAGCATGGATGCTGGCAGCAACGCAGAAGTAGTTGAGGTCACTGAGTCCGGCTGCAGACGCCTCAAGTCCGTCTGCCCAGGGATCACCAAAGCCAAGCTGATGGCAGATCGACTTGATGAAGCAGCGCTTGCTTCCATCCGAGCTTGCTTTGAAAGGATCCTTCATGCAGCTGGCAGGGTTTGAGGAACCCCTATGTATACCTCCATAATCCTTTTCATATCATATCAGATTGCTTGCCCGGATGTCTCAAAAGAGAAAACCTGGAACCCCTGCAGGTGAGCAGCCTCTGGTAGGCATCACTTTCGACATCGGCTGCCTCTGGTTAAAGCATCAGCGATGCCTGCGCCAGCTGTTCCCTGAACGGCTGGTACTTGCATCACCCTTGGTTCAAATACCCCTTATACGGACGTGTTTGAGCACGAGGGGAAGGACCTTGCTGGTCAAATGGGGAGATGAAGATGGTGGATCTGGCATCCAAGCCTTTTTGGAGGCTTCCGGCATTTGCTTGGACAATCGGGTGGAAGCTCTGAATCTGTGCACATCTGACGAGAAGTGTTCGTGGACGACTATGTCCCTAGGGCAAGCCTGGAAAAGCGAGCTCGTGACCAGGATTCATCGTCGCGTGCGGGAGTTGTTCTCCAAAGATTCTTGTCCTGTTACAAGGGGCATAACATCAGAGGACATCGCGATTCTCTTATGCTCACTACTCCGCGCTCGAATGTTGACTCCGCAAGAACGAGCCCGACCCCCCTCAATTGATCAATGTCCTGAAGACCATCCCCCTTCAATAAACAGCGCCCTTATATCTGGAAGCTTCTGGTGCCAGCCTTAGTATTCGTACCAGTACTGCTACTGCTGCTGTCGCTGCAGCTACTGCTATTGCTACTACTACTACTACTACTACTACTATATACTACTACTACTACTACTAGTACTAGTACTAGTACTAGTACTTGTGATAGTACCGTCCTCGAAATTCTCGGCGCGAATGACGACCCTCTCGGTGTTGTCGGTGGGTGGCCCAAAATTGCGCTCTCGCGTGGAGCGTCCTCGAAATCCTCGGCGCAAACGACGACCCTCTCGGTATCTCTCGGTGTTCTGGCCTTGTCGTAACGCTGGCGCGTGGAGCGTCCTTGAAATTCTCGGCCCCGTCGTGACGCTGGCGCATGGAGCGTCTTCGAAATTCCTGGCGCAAACGACGACCCTCTCGGTGTTTTGGGGCTGTCGTGACGCTGGCGCGTGGACCGCCTTCGAAATTCTCGAGGCGAATAACGACCCTTCCGTTGTTTTCGGTGGGCGGGAACGCTGGCACGTGGAGCATGCTCGAAAGTTTGGAGGCGAATGACGACCTTCTTGCTGTTTTGGGCAGGTGGGAGCGCTGGCGCGTGGAGCGTCCTCGAAATTCTGGGCGCAAACGACGACTTTCTGGGGGAGGTGGTCTTCGTTAAGCTTGTTGTTAACGTCGTTGCCTGATGGATGCTGTGATGCATTGCGTTATCGTTGATGGATAGATGGATGGATGTCGTGATGTTCGTTTTACCAGCTTGCTAAAATTGCACGGTTGTATCAGGTCTTATAATCACTCCACCAAAACGCTTTCGGGACAACCGTTCTCCAGTCTTTTAGCACAAGCATTCGGGAGCCCGCAGGCCTCTCGAGATTCGGGGCTGGAATGTCATAATTACATGTAGGCAGGTTTATTATTGCGTTCAGGCCCTGGAAGTTCAAAATTGCAGGGGGGCTATGTACTGCAACCAGAATTATGCATCCAAGCTTAGCGTGGTGTATGCGGAGTGGCAAGGTTTCGCTGGATCTATCGTCGTTTGTTAGAGGATGGTGCTTGCAGATTCTGTTCGCCCCACTAACTTGTCCAAGCTCGGAAAAAGTCTATCTCATGCAGACAATGAATGCCTACCTAAGCGGCGACAGGAGACACCTTGCTGTATCAGATTTGTCACGAACGAGCTCGAAGAGAATTTGCATGTGCCAAGCATCTATTTTGGCAAACCGCAACTCATGTGACATGAGATTGCACACATGAGTCAATGTCAGTAGTGAAATTGCGTACACTCCTTGGAAACTCGAAGATGTTGAACATTGAGAGCCAGTAAGATGAGCGGATCAATTTCTAGCAGTGTTTGTTGATATTAAAGCTTTGAACCCTATATGATCCATCAATCAACACCATGCATCGCAACCAGAATAATTAGCAACATTGATGACCGCGCAAAACGCCCTACTCTCTATATAGACCCCTAAACCCCAAGACCCCCTAACCCAGCATGGATGCAGATGAAAAGGGGTGTTAAAAAATCTCTTACCTGGAAATCCCAAGCCCGAAATCTCGTGATAAGGACATCATCGTCGACAGCATCCTGTTGGATGGGGGCTTCAGTGAAGTTACGGCGGCTGTGCGTGATGCGACAGACCTGCCAGTATTCGATGAAGTGTCACTCGGGCTGAGTTGGGAGCTCACACAGGTGTAGGATTGCGTAAGGCTTATTAAACAAAAAAACTCACAAGCGAGAGCGGTCTTTTTTAAATTGTATCATGCTCTGTGGACAAACTCCCAGACACCCTTGCATTATTGGCTTTCATAGGAAATTCACTTCAGCCAGAGGTCTATGATGCGCCTTTTTTCTTCGGCATCATCGCTGAGTCACTTCAGCGAGGCACAAAACGCTACCATGAGCAACAAGAAGCGATAATTCTGTTGTTGAACCATCATTATGACATTTGTTAACGAGTGTTTGACACGAGTACTACATGCAACTGGCAGAAGTGTGGCCAGAGTACCGCTTGTACTCGTGAGCAGCAGGCATGCGTGCTGGGGCGTTTGGAGGCAAAGTTGCAGAAGAGCAAGTCTGATGATGCCCACTGCCCTTCGCCTGTGATCCTTTCCCATGCCTAGCCGGGAAGTGAGGAAGAGTTTGTAGTAGCGGTTCTGGGGATTAAAGCAGACTGCTGTAGGGTTCCCGCCATTCCCAATCGACCATGAACAGGATTCTTGCATGCTTGCTTTTGTCAAACTCAGCTGCAAAAAAGAAGCTACCATCAGCGAAAAGTTCGATGAATTTCTTCCCGCAAGCCAGACCCAAAAGGTTCTGAGCCCTAAGTCCTAGGCGAGCAGAAGCCGCCTCCGCTGGGGGTTGTGCAGCTGGATTCCTATGAGTACCCGCGCGCCATGGGGGACGCCGACCACCCGAGCACCTTCAGTTTCCGTGGCTGGGCCAAAGAATGTTGTGTCTATATACGTATATATTTATATATACCGGCAAGAATAAGCAAGGACCTTTCGCAACGATGCTCTGAACACTATCATCTAAACCGTATAAGCTATAAGCCCTACTGAAAGCCCAGGTACATGTTCCAAAGTTGCCCCAGGGATACACTTCGAGAAAGCCCAGCGGGCGGCACAAGAGCCAGAAGCACTGGCGAGCTCCTGGATGAGTGTTTCTCCAAGGGTGCAAGGACCTAAATATTAGGGCTTTAGGTCCCAAATACCATTCAGATTATACTAGTTGAGCCCTAACACCCTATCATTCGAGTCCTTGGACCCTGAGGGTTATCAGGGTTTTAGGAGTTGGGGGCGATGAGTTGTGGTTTAGAAGTTTCGGGTTGTTAGGGGTAAGGCGGTGGGTGTAGGGGGCATGCCTCCCTTCCCAGCTAGCCGAAGATGACTTTAGGGTTTAGGGTTGACCTCTGTATACCCCCGGTTTCCATTTCAAGTTCCATGTCATTTTCCCTTTGATTCTCCAGTATTGGAGTAGTGTACCTCTAGTTTGGTTAAACCCTAAACCCTAAATTAGTAGCTTCCATCTTCTTCTCCATTATCCTGATACAGACCCTATATGGCCCCCTTCAAGCCAAGCATTGACAACATGAGACTAAGGCTTGAAGAAGGCTGCTGAAGAACTGGAGTTGCAAAAGTGCTTTGCCATAGCTGGGAACTGTGGCTTCATGCATTTTTACCAGGGCCTTCTCCGAGATGCTGCAGCTGGTTGTTTGTTACGAGGGAGTGCAGGCAAAGTTTTTGCTATACGTTTGTAGACTTTTTCCTGTACGCCATTCTCTGCCCTTAACTTGTACGAACTGGGTGAGGTTTTCAGGTTCCGCTTTGTTTGCCGAATGTCAGAATGTCAGGACAACCGACAACCATGCAAAAACAACCTTGACATAAGCTCCACACACTCCGCCCCGATCTGAGCTGTGCACTAACAAGCATCGTGGGACCTCATGCCTTATTCCCCCTTACCCCCCAAAGTGAAGAACTATTTGGCGGCAGGAAGAAGGCTGTGTAGAATGCGGATTCTGAACCCTAAACCCTAAACCGCAAAGCATACCAAGCAACCAGGTAGACGTACCGGTGTTTATGAGTGCTCTCGTCCAAATCCCGACGCTGCTGGCCTCTCTGGACCCTGAAGACAGGACGCCATGGGTAACAGGGCTTGGAATTTCCTACTGGGTTTTCTGGCCGGTAGCGAACATTTGTCCGGACGTTGTCGGGCGCGGAGGCATAGGACAAGCAGTGGGAGTACAGGTGAGGATGTTTCCATAGCCGGCACAGTGAATTTGCACTTGCGACCTTGGGGAGACATATGAGGATTGTCCGAAAACCCTTGCATACGATTTGTATAAACAAAAACTAGGTAGTACAAAGTTTGTCGAAAAAAGAGGCGCTGGTAAGCTCCGCGCAAGCAAGTCCGGCGCAAGGGTCCGAAAATGCTAATTATCTCAATCATGAGTCATTGTTTTGAGCTAGCGCAAAAACCGTTTTTAGCCAAGCTGTGCACAAGCAAGCTCCGCGCAAGCCCGAAGCAAGCCCCCAATTTGCGATGAAGGAATATTGGACAGCCCGAATATGGATTACAGTTGATCAGGGCATTGTTTTAGAAGGACCATGTATTTTGTTATGTGGAAGCTGCGTCTTCGAAAGTAGGAGTTGGAAGACGCAGGTGCTGTAAGGGATGGCAAGAGTAGGGGGCCACCCGAGTAGCTTATCAGTTTTTTTTGTTCTGCAGCCGCTATGTCGATGGCAGAGCAATTTGAAATAGCTTCATTCGCTTGCTAGAAGCTTTGTCCAATGTGCTAGTGTTGCGACTTGCACGAACGCAACTATCCCGCGAAAAGTATGGAACACAGCCTGGGTTTAGTAGGGGATTAGTGAATATATGCTATATAGGGATTATATAGGATCATATTCCCATATTCCCTACTAACACCCAGTATGATGTTGGGGTTGGGTTGGGCGTAAACCCTAAACCGCTAATTCCCAAAACCCTACACCCAGGGGGTCGGTTTGGAGGTCCTTGGACATGGAAGCTTGAGAAACATCCAAACCGCATGCATGGCTTGACAGCCCAATGGTTCGAAAAGGTAGGCAGAGAAGTCAGCATGTGAGGCGGCATATGAAGAGGCAGGCGAGGAAGTCAGCACGTGAGGCCGCATAGGAATTTGCGAAGATTAGATGCAAGGTGTTGGAGGTCCTTACATTGGTTGCCCCTATTCTGTGAGTCTATTTGGTAGGCCACATGGTTCGGCAATTGCCAGACGACTAAATCCTATAGGGGGGCTTTCCAAAATTAGGGGTGCCGTATTGGAGGTCCCAAGAATGAGGACTTCTGTATTTGGGGGTCTATCTGGGGTCTCCCTATTTTGGGAACCTACCACGTCTACCTGATCCTGACTGCTTTCTCCATGCGCGTTGCCAGGATCCTGCTTCTCACGGCAAACGAATCATCCTTCAATCGAGCAAAACACGTGCCTGTCTCGTTGATGAGCAAAATTGTGATTTTTCTTGCCTCTAGGGGGGAGGGTTTCCCAGTGCATGAAAGCAATAAGTAGTAATAATAGTAATAGTAGTAATAATACTAGTAGCAATAATTGTATTAAAAGTAGTATGACTAAAAGTAAGAAACATCATACCCTCAACCCTCAACCTGAACCCCAATCAATACCGCAGGTGCTTCTCCAAGCTGAGTGCTTCCACCTACAAGACCCCGACAGGATTGTTGTTCGAGGTTGTGAAAATGTGCCAGGCTGGGTCTCAAAGGTCCTTTTGAGACATGGGGGCTTCCTAGAATTTAGGGTACCTTTGTGGGGTCCCTATAAGAAGGACTATATAGTAGATTGGGGTCTATATTGGGGTCCCCTTATTGTGGGAAACTACCACATCGGTTTGGGCCATCCAGGTCCTTTCGCCAGTTGGAGCTCCAATAGTATCAGCGCATCGTGGCGGATTGGATTATTCACAGGGGATTGTAATTACGTTCCGGATTCTTGGATTTATTATGAGGCCAACATAGTGATTCTCAAAACATCTCAAAAAGAACTGTAGGTGGACATCCAACATGTGTGGGCGTTCGTCTTGATATTTCTGGATGTTCTTCAGACAAGGATCCGAAAGCATCGAGGGAGTGTGTAGGGGGAACCTGCTTTTCAGGAATCCCCTGCCAGTACGCTCTAGATCCTAAACTGATACACCCTAAACTCCTGAACCCTAAACTCCTACACCCTAAACCCTAAACTCTCAAACCCTAAACTCCTAAACCCTAAACACCTAGACCCTGAACCCCAAACTCCTAAACCCTAAAATCCTAACTGTGCGGAGGCTTTGAAGCCGTGGCCATGGTGCAGCAAGTGGACACGAGGAAGGTGCAAGTCCACCTCAGCAGAAGCTTGCCTGTCCATAGGGGCTGCCCTACCTAAACCCACCAAAGTATGCAGAATAATTCAGAATAATGGCTATTCACAGGTTTTGGAGCATTATTCTACCTAGTTTTGAGGTCCAGTAAGGATTGTTATTAGGGGTTGTATATTAACCCCGCACCAGAGGATTATGTCCTGGTGCGCCGCGAGTGTAAAACACAGGGCTTTAGTTGGTAAAACGATAAGAGGAAAATACACCCATGACAACTTTTCGGGTCAAGCAAAAGGGAACGGGGACAAACCCTTTTGATGTTGAGATATCTTGAGGTTCCGATACCTGTAGCTTCAGGAAAAGGAGGCTACACATTCCACATTGTCCCATGGTCAGCGAAGGTTATGTGGAGGAGATCTTGGCGGAGGAGAGGGGTAAGGGTCCCATCGGGCTGATCCTGCTAGAGTGTACTGAATTACCTCATTACGCCGCCGAGTTGCGTCGAGTCAGTGGCCTGCCAGTTTTCGATCTTGTCACGTGCGCCAACTTTTTCGCCAGGGAATTGCTAGGGGATGGGTCTAATTATTTGAAGCCCAACTCTAGTATATGTTCTAGCTAAAGACGTTGTGAAGAATGGAGAGACTCGGCCTGGCGCTTGCGTGACATCACCTGTTCCGTTTGTCCGGGCATCTGGACTACAGGTGTTCATATTTCATTGGGGCTCCAGGCTTGAATGGTAGCTCCTTTCGCGGGTAGTGGAGTCATGGACACCGCCGTCATATAAAGCATGGCGAGTTTTTTGAACTCCGTTGCTTTGTGGGCGGTCTCTTGGGGACGTAGGAAACACGTAGGAATCCTTTCTAGGTTTTGTTTGATGAGTACGCATAGAAATCCTTTATGGAAAGCAGACAAAATATGCATGACTCCAGCATGTGCCGCTTTGATGTGCCCGCGCTGCATGTTCCAAATTTCACGGATAATTCCATGCACGCCAGAATTTTGGGGCCGCATCAACAGGTGCGAGTGCCTGCATGAGATTTCGAAACCTGAGATTTCGATGTGCATACCTGTGTAAAGTCGCTGCTATTGTGCTTTCATTGTAGCAGCAATGGGACGGGAGTTTCTCATTGGAATTGCCAGGAAATCTTCACAAGGGACCCTCCGCCCTCCACATGATCCGCATTTACCCAGGCTTCAAGCCATAAATCCCCAACCCATCTTTTGAGAAACCCGCCCACTGGAGGGACGTCCAGCTCCTTTGCAACACTTCAAAGACCAAGCGGATCCCAGCTTGACCTGCCATAGTCTGGATGCTCCCCCTAAGAAATCTACAGTATTGCTACAACTGCACTTTAGCACCACTGCTATAGGGTAGGTCCAATCCATAGTCACAGTCCTCCTGCAGTTTCCTTACTGATTTGTTGACAGGGTTTCCGGTATCCGTCTGGTCCTTAATTCAGTCATGTGCCATAATGTGCAGAAGTACATTCGTCAGACTCTGCGCTGGCTGTTTTTCTACAGTAGCTGGCTGCCATATGGAAACTTCCGAAACTCTGGCATCCCCTTCGGCCTCAGCGGATTGGCCAAATCCTTACAGTAGTAAGTAGTATAATCCTGATTGGAGTAAGTCTCGGAGGTGTATGGAATTTTGGAAGCTCCCAGATCGGTGTACCAAAATATAGCTTTGGGCCAGGCAGCACAGTACACCTTCGTGTGGAGGTTGCTCAAAGTCAGGCTCCCTAGAATGGATTTCCCAATGTAGCCACACGGAAGCTGCGAGCAGAATTTATGGCACCTGCAACAAGCACACACTTCTTCCAGACCTTTTCGCAGATGAGGTGTGGGAGCTTATTTTGAGAAATGGGCTCCTAGAGACCAGGCTCTGTCGAGTGTCGAGGGGCTGAAAGCAGCTCGTGCTTCGAAGCCGGAGAAACAAGACGCTGCAAGCATGGGGACCTCATGAGGCGAAGGATGTGGTAGGCGGAGGCTCTACCCGCAAGAGAGGACGGGATCACACCGATTGGGTAAATCTTTTCTTAATGAACCCGCTGTGAGTCACACGAAGCAAGAATTCGCTTAAACAAACATTCTCAGTGTGAACACGGCTATGGCGAAAGATACGCACACAAGCATTGGCGGGATAGCGGCACTTACAGAAAAATATCATCACGTCTCATACTAAACTTCTGCATGACCCAAAGTACTTCATACTCCGCCTTTAGAACTAAGGAGCGCGGCTTTCGCAAGACAACCCCCTATGAATTAGAGTGACCCCATAATCCCTATGCGCATGTATCCTGAGACCCCCACCGGGAGAAAATTGATGAAAATTGCAAGTTGCTGTCATGGTGACCAAGGCCTCTTCCGTGACGGAGGAGGATGCAACAACGAGAATAGAGATCTACCGAGATGAGGCGGCTACAGCTACCTAAGGGCTCCTATGTAGTTCCTTTTGGCTTGTTTATGAGAGTTTGGTTCAGGATTATAGGTATGCAACCCCCAAAAAAATTAGGCAGGAGCCTTCAGGTGATGTGAAGCCTGCAAACCTAATAAGGGGGACATGAAGGTTTCCTGAAGTAGAGACATGGTTCAGTTGGTGTTTCAGAAGGCTGCTGCTACTGTAATTCGCTCCTGACATCGCTGTGACTACTTCCTCATACAGATGGGCCTTTGCTCGTCATCGGCTTCAATCATATTAGTAGTCCAAGGTGATGTAGTGGCTCTCTCAAAGCTCCAGCTAAATGGAGGAAACAAGCTGGCAAGCCTACCTGCTGGTAAAAACTTGGAAGTAAGTCTGTGCAGGTCGCAAGTACCGTTGCAGAGTACATTTTTCCGCCACATGGGGTTCCTAAACTATTGTCATTCGAATTGTTCTTTGGGGCTGAAAACATGGTGCAAGGAGTCCCCCAAAGTTGTATGGTCCTTGCTCCGTACGACTGGGGACTATTGTTTCTGCGTTCTTTTCGAAGAAGCTCCGCGTCATTATTGCTTCGTATTCAACTGACAGCTTATTACGAAACACTCCTAAAGTATCTACCCTAAATCCCGCTATCCATTTTCTTATCCATTTGATTCTCCATTATAGGGGTTCCCAGCTACTTGTCAAAGAGGGTTTCCCCGCTTCTCTCACCCGCAGCAGGTCCAGAAGATTGGAAAGTCAACGAAAATGCCCGCGCCAGCCTGTGCACGTTTTTCTCGGCTGTGTGTAGTTGTTTCCTTGGGATTTTCTCAACGTTCCAAGGTACCCGAAATACCCCCAAACTCCACAAACCATTGCAGAAATCAGAAATGTTGAAGCTGAAGGGGAGAAAGCCAGATCCAGACTGATCGCGCTGGTCTATGCTTATATGGAAAAGCTTCAGTTGCGCATGTTGGCACTCCCATAGCGCATAGTATACAGAATGTGACGGGCGAGGGGATTGTAAGTTGGAGGACGGCTGCAGTCTCGTGCAATTGCTGGGTCCAGCATGAGATGTGATCAAAACTTTCGTAAGTTTAGTACATGCTGCTGGATTGTTTCGTTTGCGTACATGACGCCATTTCAAGATTTCAAGCGTACTTCAACTTACAAGTAACATCAGCGGCGGCCAGGCAGACACTGGCAGTGCAGGCCTTAGATCTGGGAGCTTCTCAAAAACAGCCTTGGTGGAATCCCGCGGTTATTATATAGACATATGTACTGCAGGGGTCATAGAGACCTCCAAAATCTCATTGTGATCCCCAAATCTGCCAAGGGTGCCTTGGGGCGCTCGTCGGAACAAATATATGATTGCTTGAATGGGTTTAGGGTATGAGTTTGTCAAAAGACCATTGAAGCAGCATTAAGCATGACCATACCCATGCTCCTCATGATGCAGAGCCAGATCAATGCATCCTTGACCGTTAGACTGGGTCGATGTTAAGGAACCTATATTCAGTTACCATAATACTGGTATAGCGTAAACAGTAGGGTTTCCTTGTTATAGTAACCTAAGTTGAGCCTTAAACCCTAAACCCAAAAAATGTTAACTCAAATGAAGTTCCTCAGCAGCAACCCAGTAAAGGTGATGGCACAGGATAATGTTTGGCATTTGGTCACGCTCCTAAAACCCAGAAAGAAGCCTGGTTAGGGATTTCGGGTTTAGGGATTTTGGGTTTAGGTTTTCGGGTTTAGGGTCTAGTGGTTTAGGGCGAGGGTTTCCCAAAATGAGGGGTACCATTGTGGGTTCTAGGTAATTTTGGGGAATGGAGAATCGAATGAACAAGAAAATGGAAAATGAGATGGCAACTGGGATTATATAGGGCTATATACTGTAGGGGATAGCTAGGGGTTGCATAGGGCCTTCATAGGGTATATAGGGATGATGGAAAAGAAGCTGCAAACTACTACATGATAGGTTTCAATGCAACATCCAAGGACGGAAGCGTCTACGAGGGAGAGTGGGTCGGTCCTGTCAGGCGAACCTGCCGGACTCAGCTGTTCGTTTTGCGGCGGAAGGGCACCAGAACAACAGAAGCATGTGGAGGTTATCATGAGATGGAATTGTAGAATGGGCAAGAGTAGTTTGTTTCATAGTAAAGAGGAAGGGAATTTGCCGCAGTAACGCAGTAACCTCATTTCTGTGGGAGGCATGGCAGGGCAGTAATGACACTGCCGGATGGTTCCACATACTCGGGCCAGTTCGAGCACGGTGTGGCCTGGGACTTGGTTCGCATTCTTAGTCAAACCGTGGAGGATTTCAAGTGACGTTTGTTTTGGGCGATGAAGGTTTATAGTCCCTCCCTAAGTAGATAGAATATGGGGTATGTTGGGATCGTCTACTTTAATTCCACATTCTAGTTGCTTAAGGAGCAATGTAGGCCAAATCTTCAGTGGACTTCTTTGCTCTGGTCGTGCTATGTACTGGGAGACCTCGAGCTAAGGACCAGTGGACCCCCACCCAGCAATAGTGACTGTCACGGATAATAAGGTATATACTAGGGCCCTCGTATATTCCCATTATACCACTGTTGCAGGTTGAGGGTCCTCCTAAATTGTATGGGTGTGTTCAAAACTATGGATGCCGCATTTTCTAGGTGGGCACTAATTTTCTTAGATCCCGAGGAGTAGCCTTCCAACCCACCCCGCCCACCCCCCCAAAAAGAAACATAATAACAAATATGTATATGAGAGATGTATATATATATATGGTAACCCCCCCCCCCCCCTATGGATCCACCGATTTTGGGCTGAAAGGCTTGTTTGGCTTTACGAGCGTTACACAGCACACAATCGGTGG